AGAGTATTTTCATTTGGCAGTCCATGGTGTTTTCAATCGCTTCAATGCATGAGAAAGCTGGACAATGAATAAGGAAGACTGAAGAAGAACTGAAGCATTTGAATTATGATGTTGGCAAAGAATACTGAATATACCATGGACTGCCAGAAGAATAAACAAATCTGTCTTGGAAGAAGTACAGCCAGAATGATCCTTACAAGCGAGGATGGCAAGACGTCTCATGTACTTTGGACATGTTATCAGAAGGGATCAGTCCCTGGAGAAGGACATCATGCTTGGTAAAGTAGAGGGTCAGCAAAAAAGAGGAAGACCTTCAATAAGATGGACTGATGCAGTGGCTGCAACAATGGACTCAAACATGGCAACAATTGTGAGGATGGCACCGGATCAGGCAGTGTTTCGTTCTGTTGTACACGGGGCCGCTATGAGTTGGAACCGACTCGACAGCACCTAACAACAATAGAGACCTGGATGGCCTGCAAAGCCAAAGATGTTTACTATCAGGCCCATTTGTTCTACAGAAAGAAACGCATGGGAATGATAAATGTCAAACTCAGCGGTGTGGGAATTGCTGAGAAAAAAGGGGGAACCCCCCCTTTGTTTTTTATTTTTTAAGTTGGATGGTTGCTTCATGGGTGTTTATAGTATTATTCTTTATGCTTTTATATATGTCTTAAATATTGCATAATAAATTGAGAAAAAATACTCAATACTAGCCTCTTGTCTCTAGTTTGCTCAATTGTGTCATTTCCCTGCAGCTATTTAAACAAAGGTAAATAAGGCTATTTGTCAAGGAGTATTAAAAAAAAATTTCCTAACAAGACTCAACAACGTTTGTCCAGACGATGAGCAAACACATATGCTTGCACGGGCACAGGCATATGAGAAGGGAAATGGCTTTTCATCCCACCTGTTATTATTCAGCGACATGGACGTTCTGGGTGTGTTTGTCAACTTGGCTTCTACTGATATAGCTGCCTTTGATTGAGCGTGTGCCCTCAGCTGAGCATGGTGAGCTATACAGATCAGGGATCAGCAAATTACGGCCCATGGGCCAAAGGTGGGCCACTGTCTATTTGTATAAATAAAGTTTTATTGGAACACAGACACGCCTGTTAGTTTATATATTGTCTGGCTGCTTTTGCACTACAACGGCAGAGTAATTGCAACAAAGACGATACGGCCCACAAAGCTGAAAGTATTTCCTCTCTGGTCCTTTACAGAAATAATTAGCCAACCCCTAATGTGTTGTTGCTGTTGTGTGCTGTCGAGTGGATTCTGACTCAACAGCAACCCTATAGAACAGAGTAGAACTGCCCCACAGGGTTGTTTCTTAGGCTGTCATCTTTACAGGAGCAGATTGCCAGGTCTTTCTCCCACAGAGTGGCTGCTGGGTTTGTGCTGCCAAGCTTTCGGTTAGCAGCCAAGTGCTTAATCACTGCGCCACCAGGGCTCCTTACCCCCAATACAGGCGATCTCATTTAATACTCACGACAACCTGTGCAGGCAGACTTAGTATTACTCCCCGTGTATGACTGAAGAAACTGAAGCTCAGAGAGGTGAGGTAGCTTGTCCAAGGTCTCATAACCAACAAGGGTCAGAGGTGGGATGTGAACCAGGTGGCAGAACTCCAGAACTGTGCTCTTATCACTCACACTGTATTATCAGGAGACAGACTCTTTGAAAAGTAACCGAGACAGTAAAATAACGTTGAACCAAATGAGTTTCCATGCGATGCCTTGTTTTGTCTGGGAACAGGGTTAGTTTTCTCTTTTGTGCTGAAAAGTAATACGGCTTCATTTTTCTTGGCTGTCAGCCAGGCAGGGTAACTTATGTGTGATTGTATCGTAAGTCTTCTAGCCCAGGAGGGAAAGAAAGTGAGAGAAGATGCCTACACCTGCTGGCCAAGGTCTGTAATAACTAATCCCCCAGAATTTATGGAATGCACGTCCAGGCAGCAGACTTCAGTGTTGAAGAGCTTGGATTCTGGAGCCAAGCTGCCTGCGTTTAATTCCACATTTGCCACCAACCAGCTGGGTGACCTTGGGCAAGTTATTTACCCTCTCTGAGCCTCCATTTCTTTAGCCTTCAAATGAGGTTAATGATGTGACCTTCCTCGTAAGGTTGATGTGAGTTTTAAAGGAATTCAAGGACATAAAGCACTGCCAGTGGCACTAAATCAATGATAGATACTATTACCAATGCCCAACCTGATGCCCCCATGGTATGGACTGAATTGTGTCCCCCAAAAATAGGTGCTGTAAATCCTAACCCCGATACCTGTGGATTTAATCCTCTTTGAACAGGGTTTTCTTTCTAACGCAAATAAGGCTCTACTAGTACAGGGCGTGTCCTAAATCCAATCACTTTTGAGATATCAGAAGAGCAGATCAAGCACAGGAGAAAGCAAGCAGAGGGGAAGATACATGTCACGTGGAGACTGCCAAGAAATAACTGAAATGCTCTGAGTACAGAAACTGAAGATCTTCCCCCAGAGCCGACAGACAGAGAGCCTTTCCCCAGAGCCAGAGCCATGAATTCAGGTTTCCCTGGTGGTGCAGTGGTTAAGAGTTTGTTTGCTAAGCAAAAGATTGGCACTTTGAATCTACCAGCCGTCCCTTGGAAATACTCTGTCCTATAGGGTCGCTGTGAGTCAGAACTGATTCGATGGCTGTGGACTTTTTAGATTGTGAGGAAATAAATTTCTGTTCGTTAAAGCCACCCACTTATTGTATTTCTGTTCTAGCAGCAGTAAGAAACACACCACATGTCCTGCCAATTCCACTTCTAGAGTCGCTCTGAAGTCTGTCCATTACCTGCCCTGGCCCAGGCCTCCACCATGTCTCTCCTCCATGAATTCATGAAGTCTCCCAACTGGCCTTCCTGCTTCTCCTCTTGCTTCCCTCCAATCCGGCATCTTCACAGCGGCCCAAATGAAATTTATAAACCTAAATTGTATCATTTGGGGCCCTGGTGGCGTAGTGGTTAAGAGCTACGGCTGCTAACCAAAAGGTCAGCAGGCAGTACGAATCTATCAGCTGCTCCTGAGAAACTCTACGGGGCAATTTTAAGCTGTCCTACAGGGTTGCTATGAGTCAGAATCGACTCAATGGCCATGGGTTTGGTTTTTTTTTTTTGGTTTCATCCTCTTTTAGAAACCCTTCAGTGGTTTCCTGTCTCACTTGGGATAAAATCCAAAATCCTTCCTGGGGTCTCCAAGGCCCTGCCCATCTCTCGGCCTCATCTCCCAGCATGCTCCAGCCACTGGTCTGGTCATGCCACTTTTCTTCCTATCTCTGAGGCTTCCCACGGGCTGTTCCCTCAGCCTGGTCATTTCTCAGTTCTCAGCTGAATTAGCTCCTGACCTAAAAGGTCTTCCCTGGACGTAGAACCTTGTTATCTTCTCTCTTACGACCCTCTTTTCTTCCATCATACCAGGCATCATAATTTGAAATCAGTCGATTCTCATTATTTGAAGTAGTTCTGTTCTGTAAAGTCTCCATAAACACTGAATTAGTGAATACTGAGACAACCTTGTGCAGCCTCAGCTGGGAATGTGTGCACTGGACAACTCGAAGTTTTTGCTGCTCTGCACAGCATCTGTTCATGAATGAGAAAGTGTCCCGAGTACTGATTTGGAGAATCTATGAATAATGAGGATAGACTATACTATAAAAATTTTTTAAATTTAATATTTTTTTCTGCTTTAGGGCCCAGAGGGTCTCTATCACAACTATTCAACTCTGCCATTGTAGTGTGAAAAGCCATAGATAGTAAGAAAATGAATGAGTGTGGCTATGTTTCAATAAAACTTTATTTATAAAGCAGGCAGAGGGTCACATTTGGCCCATGGGCTGTAGTTTGCCGACTCCAATGTAGAGTATTATTTTGCAGGTTTTAAAACTTTATATGCATTGTATCTTGTCATGGATTGAATTGTGTCCCCAAAAAATATCTGTCAACTTGGCTAGGGCATGATTCCCAGTATTGTATGATTGTCTACCACTTTGTAATCTGATGTGATTTCCTTATGTGTTATGTGTTGTAAACTCTATCACTATGATGTAATAAGATGGATTAGCGGCAGTTATACTGATGAAGTCTACAAGATTAGATAGTGTCTTAAGCCAATCTCTTCTGAGATATAAAAGAGAGAAGCAAGCAGAGAGACACGGGAACCTCATACTACGAAGAAAGCAGTGCCTGGAGCAGAGCACATCCTTTGGACCTGAGGTTCCTGAGCAGAGATGCTCCCAGACCAAGGGAAGATTGATGACACGGACCTTCCTCCAGAGCCGACAGAGAAAACATTTCCCTGGAGCTGACGCCCTGAACTGGGACTTGTAACCTACTGGACTGTGAGAGAATAAACTTCTCTTTGTTAAAAGCCATCCACTTGTGGTATTTCTGTTATAGCAGCACTAGATGACTAAGACAGTATCTTTCAGTATGCATTCATTAGCAACTTGCTTTGTACATTATGTTTGTACAATTTATCCCTAGGATTCTATTGGAACTACTGAAAAAGATGGGCTCTCCTTCCCCCAAAAATGCTGAGCTGAAGGATGCAAACCCAGAGTCGATAAGCACCATCTTTGCCTCCAGCTGGGGAGAGCCTGTGTGAGAGTAAAGCCAATTTAGAGGAAAGCAGAGTTGAAGACAGAGTGAGACAAATTCCTTAAGACATCATTTCAGCACCTGGATCCAGCCATACCTGATGTCAGTTTACCCTCAGATCTCCCAGTTATGTGAATCATCAAATTTCCACTTTCTCTAAGCCAGCTTTGATTGGGTTTCTGAGTCTTGCAATCAAAAAAGGCTTTGATATAGTCTGTAGAACTTGAACCATATTTAAATTGTCTCTCCTTTTATTCTATCTCCAATCCAAAATTAGATTGATTGCATTTATCATTCTGCATTTAACTGAGACAACCAGACATAATAAGGACTATGATGCTGGTGACCCTGGGGAGAATGTACGGTCGTGGTATGGTACTCACTATAAGAAGGGATTCCGTAGGCTTGTGCTGGAGGTGGGTAGGCTGTATAGGGAGCAGCTTGCTGGATCCCCGTGCTGTACTGTGTCTGGCCATAGGCTGCCATGACTGTGGAGGGCTGGCTTGGCAGGACACGTGGGAAAGGTCTGCGTGGAAAGAGAGAAGAGTAAATCTCCTAGCCCAGTCCAGCATCCCTTCCCCCTTATTTTGGTATCAACACCACCATTTTTTTTTTTTTGAGTATTTACTCTTTCCAAGGCAGAGACAACTTATGTGCTCATCAAATCCCATTTCATTTCCCTCTTCCTGGTCACCAGAAAGATTACACTTCTTGTCTCCCTTGAAGTTAGATTTGACCATGTGGCTGGGTTCTGCCCAATAGAATGAGGTCAGAAATATTGTAAGCCACTCGCAGGCTCAGGCAATTAAAACACCCCATGGCCCTCCTGCCCTCTCTCCTCTTTGGCAGTAGCTGTAGAGGGCACGGGTTGAGATGACAAGGCCATGATATGGAAGCATCCTGGATCCCTGAGTCAGTGTGTGGAGGAGAGCTGCCCTGGAGAATTTCGCCCAATCCACATTGGACTTTACCTGAGTAAGAAATAAACCTTTGTTGTGTTAAGCCACTGAGATTTCAGGGTTTATTTATTATTGCAGTATAGCCTATCCCTAAGGAGCCCTGCTGGTGCAATGGTGACATGCTTGGCTGCTAATAAAAAAGTCAGTGGTTCAAACTCACCAGAAGCTCTGAGGAAGAAAAGACTTGGTAATCTGTTCCCATAAAGATTTCAGCCTAGGAAACCCTATGGGTGCAGTTCTCCTCTGTCCTATAGGGTCTTTATGAATTGGAACAGACTTGATGGCATACAACAACATAGACTATCCCACCCTGATTGTCTATCCTAATTTATACACCTTCCCAATTGACTACAGTTTTGACAAGGCTGTTAATCAAAATGTCCTGCTCTTAGCCAAGGGGTGGGCACATGATACAAGGTCATCCAATCAGATTCTTTTCTGGGAATTTAACTCTAGGGGTGAATAATTCATTCCAACAGCCACACCCCGAAGAGATTGTCTTTTAGTTGCTTCCAACTACTTCAGTCCCAGGAGCTATCCTATTCTTGGTCTTTCTCAAAGTCTGATTATTCCATTTCCACTCACATTGTGAGCTACTCCAGATCTTTCCCAAAAAATCCTTTGGGGCTTACATCAGCTGGAGTAGGTCTCTGTTGCTTGCAACCAAAGTACCCAAATAGATTGGGCCCCTCACGGTGAATAACAGTTTCCATTAAGGGTCAGATTTCAAAGCGCCACCTACCTAAGACGCTTGTACTATAATGCCTCCTACCAACCATTGTGTACTTACTACAGGCTAGCAATTACCTCACCTATGCCCGGTATGTGCATTATATCTCAGTGGATGCTCGTATCAACTCTGCGTTAAAGACGGGGAAATTCTATCAGGGACCCAAAGTCACAGCTAGAGAGTAAGTAGATCTAGGACTTTAACTCAGGAGCCTGACTCCAGAGCCCAAGATTGATAGTAACCAAAAGGCTTGCTGCTTTTCACTTATAGGACTGAGACTGATCCAGCTCTGTAGGCAGCTCTTCTTCTATAATGGTAAGGTCAAGGTGAGCTGTTCTAACTCAAAGGTAGCAAAATGGTGGCCAGGGGCTATATCGAGCCCATGGATCCATGGACATATATGTATATGTTGTATTGTGTGCTGTAGAGTTGATTCCAACTCATAGTGACCTTATAAGACAAAACAGAACTGCCCCCATAGGGTTTCCAAGGCTATAAACTTTACAGGAATAGATCGCCAGGTCTTTTCTCCCGAGGAGTCGCTGTTGGGTTTCAATTGCCGATCTTCAGTTAGCAGCTGAGCACTTAACCATTGTGCCACCAGGGCTCCTTAAATATATATGTGTGTGTGTATCTATATATCTATACACACAGACACATATGTGTAACTATATTTAAATATATAAATAAATGTAACTATATACATA